GAGACTAAAGGTAAAACTGACTCCAAAAATCAAGTGCCTAACTTACGTTGTACTACTACTCACAGTTTTAGGAACAGAAACGGGAAGTTAAAGGGGTCTCATGTAACAGCCAAGCAACAGTGGGACAAAAGAACTACTTGAGTGAGTCAAGGAATATATGGAATCAGAAGAGGAAAGGCAACTGCAATTCTGTGTGAATTTTTATTAACTGCTTACTACACAACAGGCACTGATAGTATTGACAATAATCAAAAGGAAAATTTGTGGTAAGAATTTGTCTTCAATTTGGGATTCTCAGATGAAAAAACTCTGGTCTATGCACACAGGTTGTCCTTCACGCATGATAGGAATGCATCTGATGCACCTTATTAGCATGTGTTCTGAGTTACTACTCAGTTCTGAATTATAATAAAATGTGTCCAGTATAATCAGGGTTGACATTCTTTCTAAAAATGCAATACTCACATTCCCAAACTTGATTCTCCTTTACTCGCCAGTTCCTTTAAAACAACCCCAAGAGGGCATTAAAGTGCTTATTTACAGATCATTAACTACTTGGAGTGGCAGAGTACACTTGCTAGGAGTCACAGGCAACTAAAGACCTGCATGTTTCCATGTATCAAATAGCTTTTATAGACAACTTTCCAAGAATACCATATTGAGGGTGGGCATGGTGGCTCATGCCTGTAATCCCAGCACTTCGGGAGGCCGAGGTGGGAAATCGCTTGAGCCCAGGAGTTCGAGACAAGCCTGGGCAACACAGGGATTTCCCCATCTCTATAAAAAATAAAAATACATTTTAAAAAAGAATATTATATTGGGTAAAACACTCTGGATCCAAATGACACACTCCTGATAAAAGAAAAGGTGTATCTTTGTAACCTTGGCAGCAAAAGATCTAGACAACTACTGATCTAGAAATCTTCTAACAGATTTCTTTCTGTTACAAGCTAAATGTCTAAAGGAACTTAGAACAAAGTAATCTGGAAACTAGAGTGTAACTAACTAAACCAAACAAGAAAAAGAGAGGTAATCAATATCTGTGGAGAAATCTTAAAAAGAGGATCTTCTTACACCCCAACTCCTGTTTCAAAGACTGCTACTAAAACAGCAGCCACTCTAAAGAGAATCAAGAGATACTAATGATGTGAAGATAGGAAATGCCAACCTATGAAATCTTCTTTCAGTGATTCTGACAAGTCCTGGTGTAAATTCTATACAATTGCACCAAAAATTAACCATAAGATAACTCTTATGAGAAAACGAGAAACACGGATTTTATCAGGTTAACAGCCAAGCTGTACCCATTGGGGCTCTACTTGATGTGCTTCCTAAGTCTCAGCTGACCCTTTTGATGAATTAGTGCCACATAGCTTCATTCAAATAAAGAATATCCTATAAACAAAAGTAGTTTCTTTTGTGCTCTTCTCCTTCCCCACATTTTGCTGGTGGGTCTGACTGCACAGATCCTAGGTCAAAATGTTTAATGGATCACTCTGGAGAGTGCCCTTAATGTTCAGAAGTTCAGAGAACAGCAAACGTTCTGATAGGCCTTCCAGAGAAACATGCTTATTGTAAGAGCTCTCCAACAAGTTGGAGATTTGGGTTTATATTATGAAAAAAGAATAAACTTGACACAGTGTCAATTTCTAAAGGTCCAAGGACAGTTATCACTCCTGTTACACAAAGTAGCAGAAAAAGAGGCATAAATAACCAGGGGTTATGGGGAACTACATTACTTACTTGGTTTGACTGATAACTGCCAACATTAAACAAGGATCTTCTTCAGTTGTGGTACACTTAACTCTTACAACTGAAGGATTCCTTTTCTTACCTCAAATTTTCCTAGCCATACCATCTGAAATCACCAGTGACAGTCGTGAACAAGCCTTGCAATGTGAATTATACTACAGCTATTAAGATAGTCCCGTGAAAAATTCTTTTAGAACTCTGTGTCAGGAAAAGTTGTCCTCTTGAGGAACTGACATGTATTATTTCCCATGCCTGCTAAGGAGACTGTAACTATGATTCTTTTTATCCTCTGGTTGCTAAAAGTTTAAAGTTGCATGTGATCGACCTCATCAACTATCTTAGCCCTCGAGGTTAACAATATTTTTTTCATTCTTTCTATAGTTTTTACTTCCTCTTATATCACATATAGGTTCTGTGTTATAAGCCACTTCAAATACCCATTGAAGAATATAAATATATAAATAAGACTTTTAAAAAATTACACTTGCTATCTTAACTCCCCAACATGCCCCTATCTCCACCTGTTCCAAAAAATAGGCATGTATTTGGCAGATGAGATGGAGGTACAAAAGCTAATTAATTTGCTCAAGGTCATACCCCTTTAGTTGACTTCTCGACACCCAGATATCTGAAATCTTCAATCAAACCAACAAGTCCTATTTTGTTCACAGCAGTGTGACAGACCTTGGCATACAAAACTGAGTAAGTCATGATTATAGTTGAAGAATCTAGATATTTATACTTTTAATTGATGGACATCCACTCTATCTCAAACAAAGCAAACAAAATGAATAAAAACTGACTCTATCTCAAACAAAGCAAACAAAATGCATAAAAGCTGACCAGAAAGTGACACTGGGATCTGATCTAATTGAGGATCATCAAGGTCACCCTGAAGTAACCTATATTCTCTGGTATCAAGAACATCCTCAATTCCTGAGGCCGGCCTCAGGGCTTCAGAATAATCCAAGGATTACTGGTCTAGAGCCAGGGTAGAATTCTCATAGGTGAAGGACTGCACCATTTGAAGAGGTCTTTTTCTACACCATCAAGTACCACGCCAAGTTACTTTTTTCCCTCTTACTTTTCCCATGCTTTCTCACATTATCAACACATGGCAGAGGTACAAAAGTGACTTAAGTCATAATGTTCAGCACTTCTGAAAAACAGACTAGGACTTGCTATGTGACCTTGACTAGTCCTCAACTGATCCATTAACTAAATAAATGTCTTTTATCATCACTAGGGAAAGGGTAATTAGTCATCATAAAACACTTTATTACAAAGTACTACGTAAATGCTGAACAATAAAACCCAGAAAGATTAATAAGGAACACGGTGGGGCACATTTACTGGCAAATGGAAACTTAAAACGGGGTCTTCCCACATTCCTGGCAAAGCCTGCTTCTTTTAGCTAATGCAATGTAAGTCTAAAATCATCAGCACTTGGCCTGACAATAATACACATTAGTAATATTCCTCCTGGGAAGAAGAGGGGAAAAGGGATAGTTATTCCTGGTAGGTAGCTATATGGACATCTCAGTTACTAGTTAGCCAGGTGGGCAATTAATATTTGAGTACCTACTATATGCTGGGTACAACGCTAGGCACACTGGATACAAAGGTGAACAAGAATTCCTGCCTTAATGAGTTTTTACAATCTACAATATAGACTTTGTCTTATCAACAGAGGTACTTTCAAGAATAGAGATTTACTAACATAAAGGGAAGTAAGAGCAAAGATGTCAGAGTCTAGGAAATTCAGGTATTAGGGCTTTTCCATTCTTTCCTCTAACTCACCTAAGGTCCCACTCTCAATCATTCTGCTTATAAGGACTGACTGTTTCTCCAAAGAATAGTGCAGATTGCAAAGGGTCATTGTCCCAACAAAGCAGTCAACTGAACTGACAGCACTAAAGTTAATCAGATGCCTCAGAGTCAAGGGATCTTCCACAACCTTTTAAAGAATTAAATTCTTAATTTTGTGAAAAAACAGAATGAAAGCACACAATGGCGACTTGTCTTTTTAATCCTGCATTTGATTTCTGGAGTGGCAGGTTAATTCACTTAAAAAAAAAAAAAAAAAGCCATCTCTCCCACTTAAGACAGCTTAACTAGTTGAAGCCTCAAGGACTTAACTATTCCTGCAGCCCTTGCTTTGTTCAGCCCTGCATCCTATTAAACACTGCATACAGGCAGACACAGCTTTGTAACACTCCGTCTTTATAGAGAAGGGAGACATTTATCTGGGTTCTCACTGGCTTCAGGAAGGTCACCTCTTCGTAAAGGTTCTCTGATCTACTGCTAACTGGGTGCCAGGTGTATGGATAATCAAGATGTGGCTGGCAGTAAATGATCAGAAAGCAATAAGGATCCCAATTCCACCACTCAGAGAGCTAGTGAGACTAACATCTTCAAAGGTTGCCATTTATGAGAGAATTCTAAGGGTGTCCTTTGAGCTCAACCCACAGCACAATAGATCAAACTTGTTCTGCCTCAAAAGTACAGTCAAGAGTGAGCAATCTTTCCTTACCACCCACCACTCCAACCCACCCAAGCTCCTTTCTCCAGGGATGCCTAAGTAATCTATTCACATGACTCTAGGATCCACCTGTATCCATGACAGTGTCTGCTGTCACCACCCTCCAAATGTCAATTTCTTACATATTTCGGAGTAACTGGAAGGCTGTAGAAAGTGAAAATCACAGATTTTCAATTTCATGTTACTCTCATTGCTTTCACCTGTATATCAGAGCTAGCTTCACGCATTCTTTTCTCTTGCCTCCCAGCTATCACGCAGTTGTTGGATAAACCGACCACTGCTCCCAAAGATCTGACGGAAGTTCTGCCAGATTTACCCACTCAAATGAAAGGAGATTTTCTGTACACCCCATGCCCCCGGACCGGTCACAGGGTCAACTGAGTTGGTTCACCCCCTCCCACTCTCGTCTTCGAGGACCTTCATCTAGGAAAAGTCAGTCGCAAATTTAGGGCCTGGCCCTGTCGGGTTTCAAAACGATCCCGGAGGACTTGGGCCGAGGGACAAAGGAAAGCGAGGTCAGAGGCGGCCTTTTCAACCCGGGATAGGCCTGGGGCCGCATAGCCGTCACCCCCTACATCACCTCCGCCGTCCCCAGTCACCCCAACCCCAGCCCCAGAAGTCCCAAACTAGCCAGAGCCCGGGCTTGCTCGCGTCCCTTCCGCGAGGCCGGAGCCCGAGCCCCCGCCGCCACCCAGAGCCCCCGCACCTTCTTGGGCGCCTTGGTGACGGTGGCCATGAAGGAGTACTTCTCGGCGTCCTCGATCTCCTTGGCCTGCTTCAGCTCCTCCCCGACCCCGGGCAGCGGCATCGCGTCAGGCATCGACATCCCCCGGCCGGCCCGGCCCGCGGCTGACCCGCCGCCCCCGCCTCTTTCCCCCTCAGGCGCCCGCCCGCCTGCCCGCGCGGCGCCCTCCGACACGCGATCGCCCACCCTCCCGCCGGGCCCTGCGTCGAGCTGCGTTGGCTTCTGAGGTGCTGTGGCCCACGCCTCGTCTGTTCAGCAGCTCAAGGCAGCCGGACAGCGACGGCGGCCACAAGAGAACCAGAAGCAGCAGCTCCGAGCTCCGACCTGCCCGCGCCGCCACCTCCGCTGTACGCAAACACGCACGCAAAGCGAGGGTAGAGGGCGGTGACGCCACGTCAAGTACTGGCAGCTCCCGGGAGGGGGAAGAGGCGGGGAGAAACGGCACTCTGTCGTGACGTCACCACGCTGGGCTGGGCCACAGAAGCCGCTCCTTCTCTCCCGCTCGAGAGCGAAGTTCCCAGAGTGAGCAGGACTCTTTGTGCCACCAGGTGGCACCATCAGCCCTGGGAGGAGCGCGTGGTTCATGCAACGACGCTGCGAAACGGAGGGTCTTTGGGCTGCGGGGTTCCTGGCGAGGCCTCAGCGGCGCATAAAAAGGGTATTTGGGAGCAAAGACCAGAGCCCAACACGACACATCCTACAACCATTCCTAGGAAAAGTCCGGGGCTTGAGACAACTCACTCACTCACTGCCCCAGCCCCAGGCCGTTTGTATTAAAGCTCCTTCCCAAGGGGCAGTGCCTGCCTCTTTGACTTCATAGGGGGCAGAACTGACTCAGAGTAGTCTGGTTTCTGCACAACCCTTTGTGACTTCCTCCACCATCATCTCCGACTGGGCCTTGCCTGTTTACAAAACCCTCATTGGAATAGGGCTGATGGCTATGAGGGTGGAGACCAGGAGAGCTGATGGAGAAGTCCCCAGCCAGAATGGCTTTCCGGTCCTTGCTCCACCAAAGCATTAGACTCTTACAGCTCTCAGTGGGCATCCAGGACATTCATGGACCGTTCACACCCTTTTACGGGGCCTACTATGTGCAGTGCCTGTGCTAAGGCCCTGCTGGCAAAAGGGCATGTGACGCATTTTATGTTTTGCAAGGCTTAGTTCAGCTGGAGAGGCAAAGCCTGCCTGTAACCTAATGTCAGCTGAGGTAGCTTGTCCTTTGAGATTCAAATGACATTGGCTCTAATTACCATGTCCTGTGGAAAGTCCAGTGCCCTCCCCGGGATTTCTGTGAATTACTGGGAGGACTTGGATTTTCATGGTCACCTCTGGTTCTACTTTTTTGTTGTTGCTGTTGTTGTTGTTTTGCCTTGTTTGGCATTTTATTCACTATTCTGATCTTGTGACTGTTTCTGTAGCTCCTGGGGTCAATTCTGCTGCTTCTTCTTTCAACCCCCACCCCATGCTAAACAAATACAAAATAAGGCTGTAACATGTAGTAAAACTTTTCATAAAGGTTTGTGGGTCACAGGGGAGAGATTACATCACAGAGCAAACAATTTAAGATCACATTTCTGAAATGTTCTGAAAAGTTATTTTGGCTGTCTCACCACCCAGGGATTTCTCAATGGCCACAAGATCCCACTACGCTCCCTAGCCCATTGCCATCTAATCTAGCTTCCTCCTGTTCCTCCCTTCCCATCCCTGCACCTCATCCTTCCTTCCTTGATGGACTCTGGGAAGCCAGATTCTCCTCTGCTGTGCTGAGCAATTCTAGTCTTTCCAGTGTCCTTTCCCTAAATTCCTCCCCAGGACCCCTTTTTTTTTTTTTTTTTTTTTTTTCTCTCTCTGTTGCCCAAGCTAGAGTGCTCTCGGCTCACTGCAACCTCCGCCTGCCGGGTTCAAGCAATTCTCCTGCCTCGGCCTCCTGAGCTGGGACTACAGACGTGCACCACCATGCCCAGCTAATTTTTGTATTTTTAGTAGAGACAGGGTTTAGTAGAGACAGACCATCTCGGCCAGGCTGGTCTCGAATCCTGACCTCGTGATCAACCCGCCTCGGCCTCCCAAAGTGCTGGGATTACAGGCGTGAGCCACTGCACCTGGCCAGGACCACCTTTTAACATCCAGAAAACTCCCAGGTTTTTAACAGGGCATACCCATTCAAGAAGGAAGTTTGGGTTTGAAATGACATTTTCCCCACTGATTAATGTTCAGGGCTGGGGAGAGTGTGAAATATTCACCTCTAGGGCCCTAAAAGTCTTAGTCAGGGAATCCTGTGTTCCAGCCACCTAGCCTCATGAGACTGTCTGTTTGAAAAGGGCTGTAGAAGTGCCTGGAAGAATACACTCTTTGCAGATCTTGCTCTTGAACTATTTGAATTCTTTCATCTGCTCACTTTTTTGAGCACTCAGACTTCCCTGTCAGGGATATCGCTGTAGCAGAACGGGAACAGAAATGGAGACCAGAATACCAGGTTCATCCATGAGGGTGCCAGACTGGCATCTTTCAGCTAGGGGTCGGGAACCACACCTGGTGCACTGAGGACTCTTTGGACATAAGGCTCACAGTGTCTTTCATCCTTATGGGTTTGCCCGAACTGTTGGCAGAGCCCAGGGATCAGAGATGCCTGCCCAAAGACCCGAGGCAGAGCCCGTTGGAACTAGGGATGAAATCTCAAGTCCCTGTAACAGAAAAACGTGTGACTTAAGATGAACTTTTTTTTTTTTTTTTTTTAAAGAGAAGTATCAGGGCATCTGCCTTTTGGATTTGATTTTTAGAACTCACTTTGGGCCGGGTGCGGTGGCTCAAGCCTGTAATCCCAGCACTTTGGGAGGCCGAGACGGGCGGATCACGAGGTCAGGAGATCGAGACCATCCTGGCTAATCTGGTGAAACCCCGTCTCTACTAAAAAAATACAAAAAACTAGCCAAGCAAGGTGGCAGGCACCTGTAGTCCCAGCTACTCGGGAGGCTGAGGCAGGAGAATGGCGTGAACCCGGGAGGCGGAGCTTGCAGTGAGCTGAGATCTGGCCACTGCATTCCAGCCTAGGCGACAGAGCAAGACTCCGTCTCAAAAAAAAAAAAAAAAAAAAAAGAACTCACTTTGTCTAAACATGTCTCTCAGTCCCCCAGTTCTGCTGTGCATTTAAGCATCCAGACTGTGAGCTTCCTGGAGATTGAAGTTCAGTCTTTCCTTTGCTCCTCCTGGACCAGGTCTGACCTAGCACCAGGCTCACAGTGTTGTCTGCTATTGCTGCTGCCACCGAGGATGACAGACAGGGCCAGGCCTAGAGCATGCAGTACCTTAGCAGTCTGGGCTAAGAAGGAGATCAGCAGGTCAGACTTCACTCACCTGAGTGGCTGGCCTGAGGGGAGATTGATGAGCTGATGTAGGAGAGTCCGGGGGCTCAAACTGGAAAGGGGAAGGGCAGCGCCCCCTACCCTGGTGGAAAGCATTAGGCCTATGTGGTTCAAGTGAGGCCAGGGGCCCGGGACATTCTTGGAAACCAGCCACTGCAGGGGGCATGGGTGGCTGCCATCCCTTCCATCACGTGTGTGCTGGAGATCAAAGAGCTCACCTAGCCGGGGAGTGTGACAACATAACATCCATGAGAATCATTGCACCCTGTCCCCCACCCCCAAAGCCAATCCTCAGATAGCCTCACATGGCACAGCTAAGGCGGTTGCTTCTCATGAATGCCAAGAGATGACTTGTCTTCAGCCTACCCACCCACCTGACTCAGCACCTCTACTGGCAAGCTCACTGCCCTGAACAGCACAGTCCACACACAGGTGAGAGACCCCTCTACGGGGCAGTTGGAGAAGAGCAGGGACCCAAAGACAGATGCACCTGCTGTGTGTGGTGGTGGGAAGTCTCCAAGGGCCTGGAGACCAGCGAGGACCCTTGCTAGAAAGGAGTGGCCTAAGGGCAGTGGTGAATTGGGAGCTGCTGTCACCAGAAATGTAGTGGCATTGGACTACCACACATGGGCTTGGTCTGGTTAATCAGATTCACTCTTTGTCCACTCCCAAATTTATGTTCCACATTCAGTCATTTGTTCTCTTATTTACAAAATATATACTGAATGCCGAAGAAGTGCCAGCAGCAGGGCTAGATGTTGGTCGGGACTACAGAGACAAATAAGCTGAGGTGCTGATCTCTACGTGGGGACAGGTGATGGGGGTGGGGTGCAGTGGAGGGCAAAGCAATGACACACAGGGAGATGCTGCCGGAGCTGAGTCTTGACAGATAAGCAGCTGGGCAAGGGAGGGAAGATTCTCCATGCTGAAGAAACAGCCTCAGAATAGGCATGGTGATGGAAACAGTTTGGCATATTACGGGAACTGTAAATATCGCCATGTGGGTGGGGTACAGGGTGCAAAGCAGGGTGAAGTGAGCACTGAAGCCAGGGCCAGATCCTGCAGGGCCTGTTAAGCCCTGGGCGGGTGGTGGTGATGTCTGCCATGCTGGGGAGCACAGGAGGAGAAGCAGATGTGGCTAGAGGGGTGGAGGGGGTGCTGCTGAGAGGAGTCAGCTTGGGACATATTGAGTTTGATATGTCTATGGAGGGCACTGTCCCTGAGTCTCAGGGGAGCCCAGGTTGGCACCTTTTGGAACTGCCTGCTCCCTACCAGTCAGGCTCCCCACCAGGGGGAGGCTGTGCTCCTCCTGAAGGCCTTTCACTTCCTGTCGGCCAGGCCAAATGTTAGCTCTCTGGAATGAAAATGCAGAAAAACTGCAGAGATCTTGGGTGACAATGGAAGTCCGGAAGAAGGTGAAGAGGGCAGTGGCTCTGCCTCTAGCTCTCCAGCATGGGCAAACCCTCCAACTCCAGCCTTCTTTCTGTCCCAGAATTGCTACCTTGCACAGCTCTAGGAGGCACCACTGACATTGTAATTGTTGTGAAAGGTGCCCTGGAGCACCACTTCAGGTTGGTCACCTACCTTGCTGGCCCTGAGGGACTCCCAGAGGCTGGGCTCCTGGTTGTGTCTCTGTGGCTGTGGATGCTGGTACTCAGGCTTCCTGGCTCCTACTTCCCACCGAGTTCCCTCCCTCCCTACCCTCAGCCTCTTCTCCTTCCCCTTCTCCAGTTCCAGTGGGGAAACATTCCTCCTTCTCTGTCTCCCCCTCTGCTTATTATTATCATATCTATTGGGATCATTTACTCTTTATTATCATTTTGAACATTATAGGAAAGAAAAACCCGCGAAGATTTTTTAAAAATCTCTTTTCATCTTGTTAAGTTCACTCCTAGTTTTTAGCAATTTGCAGAAACTCATTTTTACATACCTGTGATTGGTAGGTTCATGTCCTTTTGTATACTGCTTTGATCAAATTACAATATTTCAAAAAC